AACTTGGAAAGAACGGCAAGAAATGGAACACGACCAAGTGCTTTGGTGAAAATGTCTGCGAGTTGCAAATGAGAACGAACAAAAGTAGTTCGAATCGTCTTAGAAACCAACCTTTCCCGGACAAAATGGCAATCAATTTCAATGTGTTTAGTTCGCTCATGGAACACAGGATTTGCCGCGATATGTATAGCGGCTTGATTATCACAACATAATTCCATAGGATCATCATGGATAACATCAAGTGAAGCAAGAAAAGACTTCAACCATATCAATTCTGCTGTCACGGCAGCCATGGAGCGGTACTCAGCCTCTGCTGAGGAGCGTGAGACAGTGAGTTGCTTCTTTGTTTTCCAAGAAACAGGTGAGGTTCCAAGCATAATGAAGAACCCAGAAACTGACCGGCGAGTTAAAGGGCAGCTGGCCCAATCTGAATCACAGAAAGCATGAATTTTGAGATCACTTTTGGAAGAAAGGAGGATACCTTGGCCAGGATTCATTTTGATGTATCTTAGTACCCGAATGGCAGCCTCATAATGTGCTTCCTTTGGAGCTTGCATGAACTGTGAAAGAGTGTGCACTACATAACTCAAATCAGGACGAGTGATCGTAAGGTACACTAGCTTGCCGACAATTCTTCTATAGCGACCTGGATCATCATAGTCAGGTCCATCTGCTAGAGCTAAGCGATGATTCTGTTCAATTGGAAACTGAACCGGTTTACAATCCAACAAACATGTTTCTTTGAGGATATCTAATGCATATTTTCGTTGGCACAAGAAGATACCCTCATTGCTACGGGCAACCTCGATGCCCAAAAAATATTTCAAGTGACCCAAATCTTTAATTTTAAAACACTTGTTAAGATAAATCTTAACCTCTTGACATGCTTGGGAATCATTGCCTGCCAACACCAAATCATCAACATAGACTAGTATGGTCAAGAAGGTAGAACCACGCTTCAAAGTGAACAAAGTGTGATCTGCTTCGGATTGAACAAAACCGTATTTAATAAGTGAGGAACTCAACTTTGCAAACCAATTCCTGGGAGATTGTCGTAAGCCATATAACGACCTTTGCAAACGACACACTTTTCTTCCTTGTCCTTGATTAAAGCCTGCCGATATGCGCATATACACTTCTTCGTCCAGTTCTCCATTAAGAAACGCATTATGAACATCCATTTGGTGCAAGTACCAACCTTTTGCAGCTGCAACCGAGAGTAGAGTTCTAACACTCACCATTTTCGCTACAGGAGCGTAAGTTTCATGGAAATCTTCTCTTGGAACTTGATGATTACCTGCAATTACCAACCTTGCTTTGTAGCGCTCGATGCTACCATTGGAATGATATTTAATTTTATATACCCATTTACATGGAAGGGCATGTTTGCCTGCAGGTAAATCAGTGATAGTCCACGTATTATTTTCTTCTAGTGCATGTATCTCCTGAGCCATAGCTTTACGCCAAACATCATTGGTCATTGCTTCTTTAAATGACCGAGGTTCACTACCTGCATCAATAGCAGCAACAAAAACTCGATGTTTTGAAGAAAAATTGTTAGTATTCACATAGTTGGCAATTGGATACCGTATACCTGAGGTGGAGCTAGAAGAGGTGAGACTGGGAGTGTATGTATGTGCCTCAATCAGATTACATTTGTAGTTACTCAAATAGGACGGAGGCCTTCGTGTGCGTGCTGGACGAAGAGAATCGTTTTGAGCTGATTCTGCACTTCTTTGCACAAGTTCGTGAGCTGAATCTTCATTCCTTTGTACGAGAGCAGGAGCTGGATCCTCACTCCTTTGCACTTGATCAGCATTTGATGTAGAATCTTCATTCGGCTCCCTTTCAGACTGATGGACACTCCCCCTATCTTCCAACTGCACTTCTGCCTCACAATCATTTGAAGTTGATTGAGATACTGGATTGGCAGAATCATTAGAATCTATTGGTATAAATGTAGGTAATGATGGGCTAGGTGTAGGCACACTTATAGCAACAAAAGGGAACTCATCTTCGTGGAAACTGACATCTCGTGACACAAAGAATTCCTTAGTATTAAGATCATACACTCTCCAACCTTTCTGCCCATGAGGATAACCAACAAACATACACCGCCTAGACCGTGGACTAAATTTGTTTGTAGGTTTTGGTTGTGTCACCGCATAACATAGGCAGCCAAATATCCTTAAGTGACTGTAATCAGCAACAGATCCATGCAAAAGCTCATAAGGAGTTTTGCCATTGAGAAGCTTTGTGGGAGTTCTAATAATAATATGAGCTGCTGTCATCACACTCTCTCCCCAGAATTTGATTGGCAAGTTTGCTTGAAACAAAAGAGCACGAGACACATTTAGAATATGCCTATGCTTCCGTTCTACCCGACCGTTCTGTTGCGGCGTATGAACACAGGATTTCTGATGAAATATACCATTGGCAGTGAATAATTCAATCATCTTGTTGGAAGTAAATTCAGTTCCATTATCTGATCTAATACTCTTAACTGTTGTATTAAACTGATTTTGCACCATTAAAAGAAATTTTCGTAACACACCAAAAGTTTCACTTTTGTCACCCATCAAACAAACCCAAACAGCACGACTGAAGTCATCGACTATCGTTAAAAAAATAATAAGCACCAGAGAAAGAGGAAGTGCGGTAAGGACCCCATGTATCACAATGAAGAAGATCAAAAAATTTATTACTCTTTCGATCACTAATGGGAAACGAGGATCGATTTTGTTTGGCACGATAACAAATATCGCATGCCTTATTGTTTACATTGCCAAATCGAATGCTACTAGAAAAAGGAATCAGAGAAAGTGCTTCGGATGATGCATGGCCCAACCGCTTGTGCCAAAGTTCTTGCGTATCACTGGAGCGAACTGTTAAAGCTGCTGCTTGGCTTGGTCGAAACACATACACACCATCCCTGTGATCACCCAATCCAATCTCCGTCCTCAGCTTGCGGTCCTGCAAAACACAACTATTATTAGTGAATACCACATCAACATTATGTTGTCGTACCAACTGAGATACAGATATCAAGTTACACTTTAAATTTGGCACAAATAAGACATTGGATAATGAAAAAGAAGGAGTAAACGAAACAGATCCTTGTTGCACAGCATAAGTAATAGCTCCATTGGGTAAACCGATTGCCAAAGGTTCAACATCTGTAACATTCTCCAGCAATTCCAATACCCCTGTCATGTGGCGTGATGCACCACTATCTATAAGCCAGTGACAATGGGAATCTTTACGATTTAATTTGTCCTTTGAGCGTTGCGGGTTGTCAACCAATGATAACAATTGTGTCACCACGTCAGGTGTCAGAACGGCGAATGCATTTGCTTGCTCTAGTGGTTCCTCCGTTTGAGCTGCGTGTGCACCAAATGGCTTTGCATGGAATCCTCCTTGTGGGTTACTGCTCCTATCACCACTGAAACGTCCAGGTCCTCGTCCAGGTCCTCGTCCTCTGCTACCACCACGTCCAGGATAGCCAAATGCTTGCCAGCATCGAGAGGCTTCATGATTAGTTTTCCCGCAGTGAATGCATGGACGACGTTCAACAAACTTTTCCCAATTCTCGTAGTTGGCTTCTCCTCTCAGCATAACGGTTGTTAAAAGAATCCCTGGGCTATCTGATCCAGTCAGATAGAATGGTGATCCAGGGTCTGATGGCTTCAACCTGCTGCTGTTTTCATTGGCCGTCTTCAACAGAAGCTATCTCCTGCTCACTGTTTTCAGAGTCTACACGTTGCGGAAGTTTTTTTTTTTTTTTTTAACAAGGGATCGCTCTGATACCATGATAAATGGTATCAATTGATAGTATTTCCATTGATTTAAAACTGTACATCAATGTATCTTAAATAGAATAGACTGTTACGGCTGTTACCAAACAGTCTGTTACCAAATAGTAAAACAACTTCCTAATGATAAGTAACTACACCTAATTACAATAGGATTCAGTTATACATATCCTAACAAACTACAGGTTACAACATATCACAGCAAATCATAACAACATATAGAATCTTCTATTCCAACAGAAGCACTGACAAAGGCATCAGCCAAGAGAGTTGCAGAGAGAGCATCAGAAGCCAAAAAAAAAAAAAAAAACATTAGCCAAGAGAAATAACAGAGAAGAGTAGGAGTGATATTAGAGATCAGAGACCCACTGCACTCCTATTGATCGGAAGTTCATCGAGTTTGAGTGAAGAACTGCTATTGAAGCAAGCACAAGACCGAAAGGTTGCAACCAAATTACTGGTTTTGTTTTCCATATTCTCTAATCAATTTAAGTTTATTTTTCTATGGTGTGTTTTATATTCAATTTGTAGAAGGAAGCACCGATAGAAAGGTAGGAATCTTGAATGTGATTTTTTTGTTTATTCTCTTGGCTTTAGCCGTTCAAAGTGTACCTGTGTTACATTGAAAATTCAAGTGGGAAGCAGTATCACCTTGAAACCTCTAAATGCTGGAATCTTGCAGAATTGTAATATGTGTTTGTCTTGTAGTCTTTGGTTGAGATGACATTTGATTTCTTTTTTATATAAAAAATGAATGGCTATTGCTGCTGCTTACAAATATTGCATTCATTGTTTTCTTTGTCATGTGCCTAACAAAAGTTCCATTCACTGTTTTTCATATATATATATATATATATATATATATATGGAAAATGTGTGTTATTTTAAAGGATGTAAAGTTATATCATTTTAAGAGAGAGAATGAGATAGATAAAGGAAGAGAGAGTTGACAAAAAAAATAAAGGTGTGGGTCTCACCTCTTTGTGAGAGTGAAAAAATATAAATTGTGTCATTTTAAAGGATAAACATTTTTCATATATACATATATAGGTTTGTTGTATATAATGTGATTGTATCTAACATTTTATGTGGTCATCTAGAAGCGGCATCGTTTTGTAAATGAATAACAATACCTTAACCCCATCTCATTCCCACGTATCAATCTTCATCTCTTTCCCTCGCGCACTGGGGCAGAGCCAAGGGGGCTGGCGCAAAAGAAATTGAAATATTTGAAAATTTTGGAGATAATGACAACGATGAAGATGTTCTCTTAACCCCATCTCGTTCCCACGTATCAGTCTTCATCTCTTTCCCTCGTGCACTGGCACAGAGCCAAGGGGGCTGGCGCAAAAAAATTGAAATAATTGAAAATTTTGGAGATAATGACAACGATGAAGATGTTCTCTCCCAGGCCTGTTTGTGCTTTAGTTTCAGTCTCAGTTTCAGATCTCTCTTCCATTTCCCTTTCAACAATTTCATTTGTAATTTAAGGTGACTTTCAAATCTCCTTTCTCATTTTCGCTTAGCTATTTATTTTGTTGTAGTCACTGCTCTCTTTTACTTAATCAATTTTTTCCTTTTTTCGCTTTTTTACGCTCATGTTTGGGATTTTCATAAATGTTAGCCAATTTTACTTTACAGTTAGCTTCTTTTCATGGTTCTAGTCTCCTCATATCCCATGTATTCACCATTACCGCATTTATTTATTTGATTTAATATGGCTACATTATTGTGGAATTATTCAATTCAATTCAATTCATTTATTTTTTTCTTTTCACTTTTGTAGATAGATAGATAGATAGATATACAATGGGGGATTGCTTTGGTGCTCAATTATATATGAACTTTGATAAATGATAGTGACTGAGCATAATAGTGACTAAGCAGTTGTTCTTTCCTATCCTTAATAAGTTGTTCTAAAATAATTGTTATTTTATTTTATTTAGTAATTCTTTATAGAGGAGCATAATAATTACTTGAATGAAAGATTTTACCTTTGAAAATTTGGGTAAGTGTTGGAGTTTGGATCCACTTTTTTAGCAGCTAAACCACTTTAGAAATAAAGAAATTTAACGATTGGTATTTTTTGAGGTACCACATCACAAGAACATGTACATTTTTGCTATTGAAGCAACTCAAAATGCACGTGCGAGGTCAAACTATGGTTTTGCCTCTGTAGATTGCAGGACTATTAGCTTATTAAACACATAATTTTGGTTCTTATTTTCTAGAATCTTTATCTTTAAATTCACTTGATTCATATCAGTTTTCTTCTTGGAACATTATGATAAAGGATATGTTTATGCCTTGCATTAATGAAAATTAGTGGACCATACCTTGGGACCCTGTACTAAAGGACCGACAGTGGAATGCCTATTTGATTGTTCTCTTGGTGCTACCGATTATTCAAAGGTACTTTCTATTCTCTTGGTGCTATCAGTTTTCTTCTTTTACTTGTCAAGTTTCCATTTTAGTGATTCCAAATTGCAAATTGGTTTAATGCTAGTTTGGGTTTATTCGACCAACATTTTTCCTTTAATGGTTTATCCCCTCTCAAATTTTTAAGGATAAATTAAAATTTACCACCTTGAAGTTTTGCCCAAATCAAAATTTGTATATCAATTTTAACATTGTACAATCTACTCTCATCCAATTTCATAAGCATGCGTTAAAGCCCCTTGCTCAGTAATTTTTCCGCCTAAAGCTTCTTTTCATAGTTCTAGTCTCCTTATAACATTCAATTTTGTTGTTTTTCGTGCTGTGCAGGCCATGCTCGTTTGCTGATGCAGATGTTTTATATTTGAGATGACACATATGCATAATGAATTCATTTTTTGAGGTGCAGACTTTATGTGAGAGGGGGATGACAAAATCTGCCCAAGTAATCAGTAATAATTTTTCAAAAGAAACATAGCAAACAGGGAAAGGGACAGCAACACTGGGCCAATTCTTCTTGTTCCAAATTTGCTGATTCAAAAGATTCTGGACTTCAAGATTGAACAACCTCAAAAGAAAGAGCCAAGCAGAAATTGAACAGCAAATGAGATATATTTTAGGCAAACAACTCTCATTTAATTTAGGCATATATTTGGAATAGCTAGACCAGAATAACTGGTTCATCTGGATCGATGGTGTCTGGTCCCTGTACTATTAGTACTAAAACTTGTAATTGTAGTTGGCTCTTATAAAGAATTGGATAGCTCCACTTGTAATTGGTATATGTAAACATGTTGCCATTAGGTCACAGAAGTAGAATAGGTGTGTGTTAAGACTCTATTACTTGTAATTGGTTCAATATTTATTGTAAATATATACATGTAGTTCAATGGTATACTGATATGTGTTTGGGTGTGTGTGTTAAGACTCTATTAGTTTTGTTATCATTGCATGTGAGGAATTAAATACCTGCAAGTGGAAATAAAGAAATTATATCAAAAGATCCCAACATGTATTTGCTTTTAAAATAATGCACCCAATATGTGCAGCATGTGCAATATATTGTAGAAGCTAGGTACATTTGCAAAAAAATAATGCACCCAATATGTGCAGAGCATGTGCGATACATTATAGAAGCTAGATACATTTTCAAAAAGTAATGCACCAAATATATGCATAGCATGTGCAATGCATTATAGAAGCTAGATACATTTTCAAAAAATAATGCACCCAATATGTGCATCATGTACAATACATTATAGAAGCTAGATACATTTGCAAAAAATAAAGTACCCAATATGTGCAGCATGTACAATACATTACAGAAGCTAGATACATTACAAAAAACACTAGATACTAAGTCTTCAGTTCTTCTTTGGTTAAGCAGGTCCTAGGTCCTGAGCTTTAGATTTTCCTGCAGCACAATACAAAATCTCTAGCAAAAAATAAAAGTTATACTTAAAAATAAATATTAAATAAATAGATAAATCAATCAGTGCTTACCAAAATGAAACCATGAAAATATGAACAATAATTTCTACTCTTTTTGCTTATCCCTTGCAATATCCATCTACAAATAAAACTTACATTATTTGACCCCAAGTTTAAAAAGTCAAACACAAATATCAACTTCACACAAACATCAACTTCACACATACCTTTTGCTTCTGACAACCAGTTTTATAATGACCTTTTCCTTGACAGTAACTGCAAGTCCTTTGTTGTTTTGCCAACATTTCTATGCTCGATTTTATACGTGAAGCAACCCTTGGACGCCCCTTAGTTCTAATTAGTTGGGTGGGATCACGCACATCATTAATGAGTGAAACTTGAGAAACAATACTAGGAATTGGTGAAGGAGCAGTTTGAGGAGTTGGTTCATTTTCAGTTTTTTCTTTCTTTCTTTCCAATTGTCGTTGTAGAAGTCAACAACAATAGCTTCAAGAATTCTAATCTCAAAAATAGAATCTTTTGCTTCAGAAACAGCAATATTGAATTTGGAGTGAATCGACCACAAAGACAATGCACTAACTTCATTAGTATATGTTTCTGCATGAACACCTACAAGATTATTAGCCTTATAGCTTGCATTCATTGTCCATCTAGACAAAATATATTTTTCAGGTAAGGTCATTATTTGTTTCTTCTTCATGATGTATAAAATATGTTTGCACAAAATTCCCATAGTCATAAATTTTCCACACGAACAATGAGCTGTGAATGTTTCAGTCAAATGACAGTCGACAATTTCCCACCACTTTTTATCAACTTCACGAGACCCCACCCTATATAATAGAATACGGAAGCGAATGAAGTATAGGCATGAACCTCATATTTCAGAAGAAAGGAAAAATGAATCGATACATTTTCATTAAGAGCTACATCACAATATATATACTGGTCCAAGTCAAGCAAGAAAAACACTAACTAATTAACAAACTTAGAACCGATTCACTAACAGACTAATTACAGTACACGTGTATAAGGGAAGGGTCTAACTAACTAATCACATAACATGTGTAATACACGTGTTAGTTAACAAAGACTCTCTTCACCCCCCCCCCCCTCAAGGTGGAAGGTGAATATCATGAAGCCCCAACTTGAATAAGAAGTCATGAAAGGAAGCTGGATTTAGTGTTTTGGTAAAAATGTCTGCTAGTTGTTGAGCTGTAGAAACAGGCAGAAGACGGATTAAACCATTAGAGACTTTCTCTCTTGTAATATGGCAATCCAATTCTATGTGCTTGCTACATTCATGGAAGGAGGGATTATGAGCTAAATGAATTGCAGCCTGGTTGTCACAATAGACTATAACAGGTTGTGAGCATGGGACTTGCAGATCCTTAAGGAGATACACCAGCCATTGAATTTCACATGTAAGGGTAGCAAGCGCACGATATTCTGATTCTGCAGAAGACCGACTGACTGTACTCTGTTTCTTTGCTTTCCAAGACACCAAAGAAGATCCAAAGAAGACGCAAAAACCAGTAGTAGAGCGTCTGGTATCTGGGCATGTTGCCCAATCTGCATCAGCAAAGCTTCGTATTGTCAGTGTGTTATCTGAAGGGAAAAAGAGGCCCTTAGCTGGTGAACCTTTCAAGTACTTAAGAATACGACAAGCTGCCTCAAAGTGAACTTGCATTGGATTTGCCACAAATTGGCTCAATTGTTGGACTGCAAAAGCTATATCTGGGCGTGTATTAGTAAGGTAAAGAAGTCGTCCTACTAAACGACGGTATTGTGTTGGTTCAGAATAAACAGCACCCTCATTTTGACAAAGTCGAAGACCAGCCGCCATAGGAGTTGAAACTGCTTTTGCACCACTTAGGCCACTGTCACTAAGTAGCTCAAGAACATACTTTCTCTGGTTAAGTATTAAACCACGACTGGAACGTGCCACTTCAAGTTCAAGAAAGAACCTTAATGGACCAAGGTCCTTTATTTTGAACAGTTTGTCCAAGTGACTTTTAACCAACCTTATTTCATCTATATCATTTCCTGCCAAGACCATATCGTCAACATAAACAAGAAGAGCAGTGAAAGACTCTCCATTAGCTTTAGTGAAAAGTGAATGATCAGAGGAAGTGTGAGTGTATCCAAGGGAACAAAGCTCAGTGGACAATTTATTATTCCATTGTCTATTGGCTTGTTTAAGCCCATACAGTGATTTCTTCAATTTGCATACCTTCTGAGCATCATCAACAAGAACTCCTTCTGGAACAGTCATATAGACATCCTCTGACAAGTCTCCGTGCAAGAATGCATTGTTTATGTCCAATTGCTCAAGAAACCAATTACGTGTTGTGGCAATGGCAAGCAACAATCGGATTGTAGTAAGCTTTGCAACTGGTGAGAAAGTTTCAAAGTAGTCCACCCCCTCCATCTGGTTGTAACCTTTTGCTACTAATTGAGCTTTATAGCGAGTTATGGTGCCATCTGGGTTATGTTTAACTTTATAGACCCATTTTGACCCAATTGGATGCTTTCCTTTTGGTAAATCAGTGAACTCCCATGTGTTGTTGGTGTTCAAGGCTTCTAACTCTTCATTCATAGCAGTTACCCACTCTGGAAACTGTGCTGCATGTTTGTAAGTGGTTGGCTCCACAAAAGAACTAATGTTATGGCAGAATGATGTGTACTCAGGTGAACAATTTTTGTAAGATATCACAGAAGACAAAGGATGAGCAGTGGAAGAATCAGGGGCAACATTAGTGGTAGAAAGATTGCAATGGAAATCAGATAAATGCTTAGGTGGCAGTCTTACCCGTGATGAACGTCTGAGTGTCTGATTGGAATCAGGAATATCATGATTGGAGTCAGCTCCAATGTCATGTACTATGGTGGGCTGTGCATGTATAGTAGAACCTTGTAGCTCAGGTGTGTATTGTTGTATCTCAGGTGTATATGGCTGTGAAATATCATCATCAAAGGAAGAGCTAGCTTCATTCCCTAGAGGCCAGGGATTGGCATGCACGTTTGAGGGCTCAGCATCAAAAGGAAAATGTTGTTCATAAAAGACGACATTTCTGGAAATAAGAATTTGTTTAGAAAACAGATCATATAGAACATACCCCTTAGTACCATCCTTGTGACCAATGTACACACATTTGCGTGCCCGAGAATCAAACTTTGATCGTCCAGATGTAATAGTAGATGCAAATGCAAGGCAACCAAAAACCTTGAGATGGATAAGAATTGGTGGTGAATTGTAGAGCAACTGATATGGTGACTTGTTATGTAACTTTGGTGAACTGAGACGATTAACAAGGTGTATAGCATGAATGATGCAATATGACCATAAACTCTTTGGAAGTTTCCCTTGGAAAAGAAGTGCTCTGGCTATGTTAAGCAAGTGCTGATGTTTTCTTTCAACTATTCCATTCTGCTGTGGTGATTCCACACAGCTGGTTTGATGAATGATTCCTTTGTGTGTGAAGAATTCAGTCATTAAAAATTCTTGCCCATTGTCACTACGAAGGGCTTTGATTGTCTTATGAAATTGGTTTTCAATTAAAGAGATAAAACCACGAATATGATCCCTCACCTCAGACTTTGATTTCATGAGAATTCCCCATGTGAATCGGGTACAGTCATCAACAATTGTTAAGAGAAAATGATGTCCATGAATTGATGGTATGGAATATGGCCCCCAAATATCAACATGTATAAGATCAAAAGCATTACTCGATATATTGGTACTCAAAGTAAATGGAAGTTTCTTCTGTTTTGCCATGTGGCAAATATCACATGGATTATCTACATTCTTACATGTAATGAAAGGAAATTGCAACATCATTGTTTCTAATACAGGTTTGGAACAGTGCCCCAAACGTGAATGCCAAACATCAATGGTATGGGCCTTTATTGTATAACTATGACTATCAGTAAAATTCTGCCTTATTACAGTGTCTTTACTTGCATCTTCATGTCCTGGTTTGTCTTTCTGAGTAATCACATATAAGCCTTGCACCAAACTAGCAGAACCAATCGTCTCCATGGATTGTAGACGTTGAATGGAACAAGTTTGATGCTGAAATGTCACACTACAGTTAGATTCAAATATCAATTTGTTTACTGATATGAGATTTACTCCAAAGTCCTTAACATACAGGACATTAGTCAAAATAAGTGATCTCGAAATCACTACTGTACCAGAAACATATGAGAGTACCCGATCTCCATTAGGAAGGGAAATAGCTATTGGCTCAATTTGTTTAGGAGACAACAAAATCTCAAAACAGAATGTAATATGATCAGTGGCTCCCGTGTCCAGGATCCACTGATTTTCTGACTTACTTGTTGTAGAGGATCCACTATCAGCATTAAGAGCTTTAGTCTGCACCATGTTGCTCACATGAG